CTTCTGTATCTTGTCTCTGTTGGCCCAGCATCCACAGATGGTCTCTTTCAGATTACTGTAAATGGATTCGTTTCCTCAACTAATCTGTAAACTCTTTGAATTAAGGTTTTATTCATGCACTTTTTACCTAATAGGCAAATAATAAATATAAATTTAAAACTGGCTTTAAGTGTCAGAATAGACAAAATTATTGGTAAAAAAGTTTCCTGATATTTGAATTCATGTGGATTAAGTGTTAAAATGCTTTAACACAGTAAGTACATTTTAATCCTAAAAGCATGGAATTAGAAGAATCACCTTTTCATGAACTTACTATTAAATGAGAAATTAAATATAAAAACCAAAATTTTATTTTAAATTAGTTTTTTCTGACATAAAGTCTTTTGTTATGTACTTTCTTGAACACTCTATAACTCATCCATTAATACCCACAAAGATATTGGAAGAATAACGTAGTTAAAATGATAGACTACATTATTATAATTGTGCAAAAAGTAACTGAAAGAAGGAAGTCCTATATTTCATATTTTGACAATGTAGAAATATAGGAAGTTTGGAGTTCTATTTTTGTGACTCCTATACATATTTACCTGTTTTGATAACATATTAGTTGAGTGGTGAAAGAAGTTTTGAGTTAAAAGTTTGTCATTGGCATAGTTGTTTAAGGATGCAGAACTTGGGAAGTATAATGAGTTCTGAGCTAATATGAAATACTAGAGCTTATTCCTTATGTGTTATTTTGGGAAAAGCTGCTTCAGCACTTTTTCTTATTTGGAAGTTTTACTTATATCACTGGTAAAACATAATGGAAGAAATTTATTTGCAAAATACTTTTTCCCTCTCTTTGAAAGAAGCCATTCCAGCTGTTTCATGCTTGTTCATTTCCGTTGCAGGCTCAGTCCTCCTGTTCTTCCTCTATGTTCCTTAAAAGAAATACACTTGGCTAAGGATAAGTTTTTCAGAATGGAACAATCTGAAACTACCAATGGTTGTTTTCTTTCTATTTTAACAAGAGAGGTAAGGAGACAAAAACAATCCCAGTCTATGTCATACTTTGGAATTGGGAATGGCAGAGCCTCACAAGAGGAACATAGGAACCTGTGAACATTTTGAAATGCTGTGCTTATATTTCATAAATAGCTAAAGGGCAAGAAAAAGCTTTATGGCAAGTAATCCCGATACCTTATGTTCTGTGTTTCTTTTTGCCTGCCCTCTATGCCCACCTCTGTAAGCAGTTTGTTAATACATAGGGAGGGCATCTTCTCAGACATAAGAAATCAGCTGTGTAATTCTATCAAGTTTATAAATGGGAGAAGTGAAGTTAAAAAGAAGTCATTTGCTGAGGTTTATGGCATGTATTAGGCCTAAAATCCATTTATTTTAAAATTATGTTCTATTTATTTTCACTGAAAACATTGACAAATATTTGCCATATGCACAATAGTTACCTTCCACAGTAATAAATGCTTCTTTAATTGTAGCGGGACCCATCTGAGACAGTGTCTGTGAAAGATGTTTTGGCCCGAGCTGCAGCAAAAGGGCTACTGGACGGGATTGAGTTGGGGAAATCATCAAAACGAGAGAAGAGGAGGAAAAAATCAAAAACATCATTGCCCAAACCGTCTGCCAATGATAATAATGGCATCCAAATGAAAATTGCCGAGTTCCTGAATCGAGAAACCAAAACAAGTACTAACAGATCAGAGGCATTAATAACAAAAGCACTTAATCCACAGAAAAATGCATCTCAAGTAGGTGCCACCACACAGACCAGGAAACCCAGCAAGCCTACCATCAATCCTTTGACACCCACCTTAACGAAGAACACTTGTCACTGCAAGCCATGTGAACGGCACACCAACTTCACACGACCTCGACCAGAAGACAAAATGATTGCTTTGAAACCCATTGAGATCGTTTTGCCTCCAGTAATGTTGCCATTTCAGAGTCCTCAAGGGATCAGATCTCAGGTCCCAAATCAGCATTTTTACTATCGCTGGGTTAGGCCCAAGACTGGTGTGCCTGGCTACCTTCCCACACCATCAGCGTCCAGAAGAGGGGAGAAACCTAAAGAAAACTTACCTTCCTCCCTAGTTAGGCATCCTCGACCATGGCTTTGACTGCCCCAGGTTTTTGACAGGGCCAGAAACAGGCGTTTTTGTTTTTTTTTTCTTCCCAAACTCTGGTATTTCTCAGAAGGTGAGATATAGCTACACAAGATACTCATCCTTTTGTCACTTAGTATCTTCTAATTGTGATATTACCTTCAGAGAATCAAAACAGGAGAGAGACAATAAGTAGAGAGGGTAAGCAAGCAGAATTCAGATTGCAGCAGCTTAGTGCTGATCTGTTCGAGAACACCCCACTGTCGACTCTCAATCAGCTGTCAGAACTCGTCTCACTCCTGTTGACTTCCAGTCGGGACTAAAGCTCAGCAATTTCTCCTGAAGGGAAACATGGTCTCTCTGGGAGCAGGCTGCTCTTCACTCACTTTTGAGGGCGTTCAGTTGAAAGCGGGGCCCTCCCACCAGCTCTGGAACACCCTGTCAGTGTCTAAGCAGTCCTAGCTGAACTTTTCCAATCACAATCAAGATTGATTTTTTTTTTTCTTAAGTACTCGTCTGTTCCTGAAACAGGGCATGACATGAGTTTTGGTAACATGACTGAGCCTGAGTACTAGTAGGAAGCCCAGGAAGTTCCAGAATGTCATGTGTGCATTGCTTAGGTGTTGATTCAGAGGGTCTCTCGTGGGAAGAGCATCCAGGACCCTGAGTGGATTGAGTGAGCACAATCACCCCTTCCTTCTGCCTGTTTATGCCAAACACGGTTGAAAAAAAGACTGTGAGCAAATTTCCATCAAAACATTCATAATTCTGAGAACAAAACTGTTAAATACAAGTGATATCTATTGTCAAAGAATACAAGTGATATCTATTATTGAAGAAACCTATAAAGACTTCTGATTCTATTCAAAGATCAGGTGATACAGCAAAATGTTCAAATTGTTTCAAATGGCACACAGTAATCAAACTTTGGTAAATCATTTCTGATGCACAATTAAAATATATTGTAGCACTGTTATATTAAATGTCAATTCATCTTAAATGAATATTGGTATTGCCAATATTGGTATGATTATCGTTTCTGGGTCTACTGATTATTTTTCATCATAGTAACAAAATGTTTAACATTAAATAGGTTTCAACTATAAATCTTGTTTAAAGTTCATAGACACGTTGATGACGTTTGAATTTAAAGTTTTATTTTCAGAATCAGTTGTGTTTACATGTAAGTAATTCTGGAATGCTCAATTCAGGTGATACTTCAGTAGAATATTTAGGTCTGTTTCAGTTATGTTATTCTTTTCTCACTTGAAGTGAGGAGAAAAGCAAAATGGTGAATTTCATTTTAGTAGTACTAATTGATTTTTCCTTCAGCTGAAGATTACATTTCATTAGAAACTAAGTGAAGAAAAGACTTTAAAAATTTTTTCGCAGTTGCAGATGGACAGATGCCTTTACTTTGTTTATTTTATGCAGTGCTAAGGATCAAACCCAGTGCCTCACATGTGCTAGGCAAGTGCTCTGCCTGAGCTACAGCCCCAGCTCAAAGAAAAGACTTCTTATACTTGAGCCAGACTTATTAGGGGGTGTTTCATTATCTTACACCCACCCAAATCTAGCTTAGGGGACCCCATGCCTCTAGGAGGACAGGGCAGCCTAATTTTACATTGTTCAGTGAAGAGCTGATATTTTATCCCAGAGTTTTTTTTTTTTTTTAAATATTTAGTTGTAGTTGGACACAATACCTTTATTTATTTACGTGGTGCTGAGATCGAACCCAGTGCCTTACATGTGCTAGGTGAGCGCTCTATTGCTGAGCCATACCCCCAGCCCCTCCCAGGGATCTTTTATCCTTTTCCTGCTTCACTCCAACTCTAGGCTGCAAATGATTCCATTGTCCAGAAGCACAGGGTCTGAAATCTTTATTTTCAAGTGTATTTTCTGGGTTAACTCTCACTGTTATGAAACAGCTCAGGATATTTTATAACCTCTGCATGTGATTCATGTCACAACTTTGAAGCCACTTATTTTCAGTAGTTCCTAACATGCCTCTTGGTACTAAATTATTTTTCTCTTTAGAAATTTATGGAGATTCTAAATTAAACCATTCATTAATTAAGCTTGCATTTTAGTCTGAGAATATTCTAAGCAGGACAGGATCACTTATTTAAATACTTTGGTAAACAAAACAGGGAAAGAACTTAGGATAAAAGCTACATGAGAGAATTGTAGTGAAGAATATGGATCACACTAACATTTTTTTTGTTTGGTATTTTACTTGCTTGAACGTGAAAGTCTTGCAAAACACTAAAATAATCAAATTATTGGTGTTTAGATATCTCAATAGCAAATGTTGATTTTTACCTGAAACTATTTACTATCATAAAAACCCTGAAACCAAAATGAAAGTTTGTTGAGTTACTGCCCTTGGGGGGCGATGAGGGGGAGAGAGAATACTCTGGGGGGCATGCAAGACCAACAGTAGTGCCTACTTTACCTTTTCCTTGTCCCCTTCTGTGTGTCTGAAAGTTGAACTAGACCAGATTCAGTCGGTTTTTCTAGCTACCTTTTGGATTTTAGCGCCAATACACCTCTCTTGTTCATTCTCTGAGGCTAAGTTCTTCAAGAAAATGAGACAGACTTTGTGCTGAAATACTTTAACCCTAGAACGACTGCTTGCAAAAGACTCGATAGGCTTGTGTGTCCAGAATGGCAGCTGTCTGTCCACCAAACGAGGTCAGGATAATGAATCAAATTTAGTTACCTTCTCATTCTCCCAGGTGGAAAGATGCAATCACCAAAGCAGAATCTTACATTACTAATATGATTCCTTAAAAGCTTAATTTAAGGTAATATAAAAATAACATGACTAGTTCAGACACACTAAATTCTAATTTTTGTATATATGACTGAGTTGTCAGATAAATGAGCCAAACATTTTATGCAGCTAAGTTTATTCTCAATACATATTACATTTAAATGTGTAAAAGTGGTCAACAGTAAAAGGGGTAAAAGGAAAAACAAGACATCCTTTCAGGATGAACAGCTGGCGCCGGCTGCCAGGGACTGCTCTTATTGATGGTGGCAGGGAGGATGTTTTCCCTGAAACTGAAATAACTTAAACTGCGATTTACTGGCTGTAAACCCCATGTTAGATGTGTATTAGGGTAAGCCTGGCCAACCAAGAGCGCCAGTAGTTTTATTAAATTGTGCTAAAATCAGGTAGGGAAACATTTTCCATGTTGTTCATGAAGTCTTGTGTGAAATGAGTGCGCCATTCAAGAAAAGGAAGCATGGCGGCCCCTAGCACATGTGTCCATCTTCCAAGTGTCCATCTTAAATTCACAATATGAATTTTTTTTTTAAAAAAGTAGCAGTGCCAACAGTTTATCACCAAGAACTTGTTTTAATGGAAATGAGTCTAATGTTCCTTCATGCAGTAAGACAGACAAAAAACAATGGTCCTAATTAGCTATTGGTGACCTTATAGCCAGGTGGAAACAAAAGGTGTGTGGACATATGTATATGTCTTTAGATGAAATCACACATGTTGTGAAGGTTATAAAAATGAAGCACCATATGGTGCTTTAGTTTACAAAGTCAAGTTCTTAGTCATAGGCCTGTTGGCTCTTCCCCTTGATGCTGCCAAGGAGCACACAGAGGTGGTGGCAAGACTGCATCTAGCTAGCTGCTTTTAAAAAATAAAAGGAACTTTAAGCATTTTGCCTTCTACATATTCCAATAGAAATGTGACTACAAATCATTACAAAACCAACTTTTAGGCAATGTGTAGTTCACTGAGATTACTTAGACCTGAATACATTGTGACATAATATCCAGTAAAGATAATATATTAACACAACAATGCAGTATATTTCAGTAAAAATAGAATAAATAAAATAAAAATATTTTAAGCTGTATTTAACAGGTTAATTAAAAAAAGATACAACATACAAGGCATAGTGAACATGGCGGCCTGTTTACCGAATCACAGATATAAAGAATGCATAGATAACTGAAGTCTCACTAAGATATCAGGTAAAACACTGGCATCCTTTCACAGACAAATACACACATACTTTCATATATACTTTTTGGCCATGGCAGAAAGTGTCTGAACATACCGTTTAACATAATTAATTTTACAAAATTAATCTGCATTTAATATGCAAAGCTACTCTCAAAACAAAATATCTGTAGTAAAGTTTGTACAGGCTATCATTCACCTTATTATAGCCTATAATTGCATATATAAATCAGTTTGCTACTTAAAGCTAGCTCAATATTTTTGATCCTGAAAATAAACGAACATATGCCTTAAAAAAATGAACAGGGGCTTCTGGTAGAGATTTCCTGTAGAAAAGTGGATTACTTGGTTAGTGTTTTGAGGTTTATGACACTAAAATGTTTCACTGTGGAGATGGAGATGTAAGATCATCGTAACTGAATTTGAAAAAGCTTTTCACAGGGCACAGTAAGGTTTACTTAATGCAATGATTTCTCATGATGGCTCTGGTTACTTTGGATAGAACAGTATACAAGTTGGCGAGAAGCTTAATGCATTTCTAAAATAGCATAGTTTCTGTCATAACATTAGGGTGCCAGCAAACAATTCCAGTCCCTGTGCACCCCCCTCCATGAATTCTGTGAGGAAACAGCAGGCAGAAGGCCTTCTGTTCATTCCATCATGTTTCCTGGTGGCTAAGGGTCTGAGTGAGGAGTAGCTCTACCACAGTAACATCTCTGGAAAATCTCATCAATTTGAAGAGGCTGCACTGAGTGGAGACACCTGTCCTCTACAGCACATTGAGGCACACGGCAGCGAACAGTCCTGGACTGACAGAGGACAATGGTTTTATGATTAATTTAATGGCACTAAATAATTCGGACACACATTTCTTTACTTACGGAGAGAATTCTGAGATTGCCTGACAGTGCCCCTATCTGCTCTTTGTTTGTGCCACAGTCATCTGGAAAGGGTCCTCCTGACTGACTGTGCAGAGGGGCACAGCACAGCAAGAGCTGGGAGCTGGGAGGCATGGGTCCTGGATCTGGCTCTCATGCACTTTGGCGAGGTCGTAGGCCAGTTGGTTCAGCCTTTTGGTACTTTGTGTTCTTACTTCTCCAATGTGTTCAGTACCTTTTCTACTTTATAAGGCTCAAATGTGATAAGAATGTGGAAACCATTCTGACAAGAACAAAGCAGTGTAGTGTATAAACATAAAGCATTACTTTTGAAACTGGATGTTGTCAAAATGTTAATTTTGACACTAGAAGGTAAACAAGACTAATATTGAGATTCATCTTAGCAAAATAAACAATGTCAACAAGAGTTTAAATTGGTATATCTTTATAGCTAAGTTTCTAATCTGCATAAAAAAAGCAAGAAAATGCTGTTTTGGGGAAACTGTTAAATAGTCCCATTATTCCTATGTATATTTTGCTCTGATACGAAATTTTTTAAATCTTAAAAGTAAAATGGAAAAAATATAAATTTTAAAATATATCTAGTTGAGTTCAATAAATTCTAATATTAAATACATAAATTCAAGAAAAGGTCCAACTTATGTAGTTTGTTGCCATGGACAATATATGATGGACAGACAGCTTTCTGGACAAAAAGCACTAGAATAAGACTGAGCTAGCTGCGGAATTCTAGCACAACATTTACCTCTAAGATGTGAACTAACAAAACTAAAGTGGTGGAGGAGACCTCAAATCATAGTGTATGACAGAGATATAAATGGCATTTCCTCAACTCCAAGTTGCATATTGGCTGATCATCAAACTAAGGATGAGAGGTTCATGAGGAGTATTTCATCTTAGCATTGTGTAGAGAATGGCCATAGTGAACTATAATTCTCTAGCTGCATTGTACAATGTAAGGCAGAAGTTTGAAATATGTCCCACCCAAAATGCATTATGATTTTGTTAATCTCTTTTTGAAAATAATCAGTTTGAAAACCATCTGAAAAGAAAGGCTATTTTTTTTGTTCGATTTTAATTCCTCAAATTTAGTTTTTCATCCATTTTAAAGTTCCACTCTTTTCCAACATCCCACCATCAGCTGGAGACATGACATGGCGTCCATATGTCACACAGCTCGTCAAGGAAAGCTGCCAGTTGGTTTCTATACGGATGCCAACTGCCAGTTTTGTTAACCAACAGGTCCAATTTTATGAAAAACTAAAACCCCAACTCGTCATCCTATCTTTACAGCAATTCAATGGTATCTGCTATGCAGCGTCTCCATGTTTCCAACGTTGAAAACAGGGCAAAGTGCTGCAGGACTTGAAGGTTGCTTGTGACAGATCCAGTTGAGAGGACAGTGAGAGAATGCAGGCATCATTCACTCCAAGGACATAGCATTGTTCACTAGGAGGGGCGGGGGTCACATTCTTCTCTGCATGTGCGAAGTCATAATGTTCACAATATTTACAGTAAGAAAAAGACCTTCCACTGCTCAGGATGTAACTTACTGACAGAAAAAAAAAAAAAAGATTCATGCTTCTTTTCATAGCACAAGATGGTGGCAAGACGAGAGAACATGCCTGTCTAACACTGCTCGGGTACAGATGAATTCTCTGAAGACAAAGCATCAGCAACGGAATGGAAGGCCGAGATCAGTTTTTTTTTTTTTTTTTTTTTAAGCTACTCCATCTTCAGGTAAAGATGACAGTCCTTTAACATATGCAACTAGGGTGTTTCTGTGACAGGACGTTTCTGTTTCAAAGTGTCAATGAGGGATAAGACCCCTCGTTTTACATTGGTTGTGACTCTTCTGGTCATTGAGTCTGCAGGCGGAGGAGGTGGTCGAACTTTCTGTGAAGGTGGCCGGGCTACCAAGCACTTCTGATATCGTAACTGAATAAAACAAACAAACAAAAAAATTTAAGGGAACTAATAATGTATTCTTTCTTCTTGTTTAATATGATTTTCATTTAACACCAATATGTTGACTCCTGAAAGGCAAAGAGGTGGTCCTAAATGTAAGTTCAAGAGTTTGTTTTATTCTTAATATGGACGTTTCAAATTCTCCTAAAAGATTCAACGAAGGTATTTTGCCATCCTCTCCTTCCATCTGTTTCCACCTTCTACTTACTCTGTTAGTAGCTTGCAATTAATATGCCTCATAGTCAGCAAGCCAATGAAAACAAAAAGGTTTGGGTCAGAGTGTCAACTACAGCTCCCATCAGAGACAGCATGGGAGAGAGGGCACCATCAGTTGTGAGTGCCCCAGCAGTTACTAATTTTCTCTCAGCTTGTTTCTTCAACTGTAAAATGGCTGAAGCGTGGGGACCTTTATAGAGGGGACAATGATTGAATAAGACATATTTATAGGATCTCTAAAATAATAATAAATGTTTGTTCCTGTTCCAATTTCCTATCCTAATAATAATAGAAAACAATGATGTAATAAGATTTCAGATGGCCAGGAGTGGTGGCATATGCCAGTAATCCCAGCGACTCAGGAGGCTGAGGCAGGAGGATCACAAGTTCAAGGCCAGCCTCAATAACTTAGTGACACCTTATCTCAAAATGAAAAATAAATGGGCTGGGGATGTGGCTCAGTGGTTAACCCCCCTCCAGGTCAAAGGTATGTTTTAAGATAAAGGTCAGTCTGCTCTGGTTTCAATCCCTAGTTAAAAAAAAAAAAAAGATTGCAGATTTCAGGATACATTTTATATTCAATTTTAACTTTCAAAGGATTAGGTTTTTTTTTTTTAATCCATTAGCATTGGCACCATGAATAATTTCTATTTTTCAAAAATGGAACAACAAAGCCCCTTGCTTTTGCAGTAATGGAAAAAAAATTCATTTTTCAAAATTAGATGAAAAGGTTAAATTTATCAAATGTTTTTTGAGATCCAAGTACTTTAAAATAATTCCATAGCTGATTTTGAAAATCAACTTAAATATTAGCAGGATCCTTGGTAGAGTTGGGGAATACACTGATGTGTCTTGGTAGAGTTGGGGAATACACTGATGTGTCTCTCTAAGACACATAAAATATCTTCAGCAGGACTCAGGAAGGAGAGGTCATAATGTCCTATCATACCATAGGCCACAGAACTGGTCCCTTTCAACTCAAGCTGATGAACGAGGATGGTTTACTATATATTTACTCCGTGTAACGCACCTTGCTACACATGAATCACAATTCAAACCACATCTAGAGCATGAGTTTATAGGCAGGCAGGATACACCAACATTGGACCCTGGATTTGGAATTTCAAACAGTAGTTTTGTATATACAATGTGAATAAAAACTGCACCTAACTGATGAATTTCATAAAGGATCCCTCTCTCCTATTCCAAATTTCACTTCAGTAGCTTCAGTTGAACCTGCATGACATAGCTATAAAATGTGCCTAAAAATTAAGAAAGAAGAATGTGTTGGAATTGTATTTTGGGTAATATAAATTTATACATAGGTATTTCAGATGGAGGATCATGTACGTCTGAACCAAGAAAACGACTGCATCAGTAAAGCTGGACTTGGAGAGGGGCGCAGGAGCTCTGGGTTCACCCCTGTGCCTTGCACTGACTGGCTGAGCTACTCCAACTGGCCGCACTCCTACACTCAGAATAGGAAGCACAGAGTAAAGTTGTTTCCAACAGCGAAGATGAGTTTGGGAATTAGAGAACAAACTGTAGCCAGTGATGAAGCTAATCATTTAACTGTAGTTAGCAATTAGAATGTATAATTAAGGCTGAAAGCCATTCAGTTTATGACCAAAACCATCTGTTAGGATCCATTTCAATTTCATGAAATATCGAAACAGTCATCTACTTTTGCTTGATGGAAATCTATTTGCTGTATATGACCCCTTGACCCCATCCTAATTCCCGGTGCCTGGATCACACTTTCTTTCACCTTGACTCCGCAGCTCCCCTTGTTCCCCTTGATCCTAGCCCTGCTCCTTCATACCCAGGTGTGTGAGTTAATATCCTGGCCCCACAGAGAAAATATCCCTCCAGCACCAGGCCTCTCCTCCCTTCCACCGGCCCCCCCCTCCAGGTCAAAGGTATGTTTTAAGATCAAGGTCAGGGCTGGGGATGTGGCTCAAGCGGTAGCGCGCTCGCCTGTCACGCGTGCGTCCCAGGTTCGATCCTCAGCACCACATACAAACAAAGATGTTGTGTCTGCCTAAAAAATAAATAAATATTAAAAAATTCTCTCAAAAAAAAAAAAAAGATCAAGGTCAGTCTGCTCTCTTCCTAGTCGCCACCTTTGCCGCTTGCCCTCCTGCCTCACCCTTTTCCTGGTTCTTAATTAGCAGTGTACAGCAGGTCAGAAAGCAACAAGCAAACTTTTTTTCTTTCCTCAACTCCACCTATGTCTCAAAGTAAAAGGTCTCTAACCAACTAGGAGGCTAAGTGCCTCCTCTAGGTCTTCATCTACCACCATTTTCTGTGAGATCATGTGTTACCTAATGACAGGGGATGTTGAGGGCCACAGCCAAGTCGAATGCCATGCGTCATCCCGACTCGGCTGTGGCCCTCAACATCGGAACACATTCTGAGAAATTCGCTGTTGCGCATTTCATCCTTGTGCAAACATCACAGTGCACCAACACAAACCCAGGTGCATAGCCCATTCACACTCAGGCTGAATGGCACAGCCGGCTGTTCCTAGGCTGCAAACCTGTACGGCATGTTACTGTACTGAGAGTACTGAAGGCCACTGACACACAATGGTATTTGTATATATATTACATGGGGTACAGTAAAAATGTGGTATAAAAGATAGAAAATGGAACCTGCAGGACTAGGCACTGCTCTGGGTGTCACCGGGTGAGTAGCAAGTGAACGTGAAGGCCGCCGACACTACTATGCACACTGTAGACTCGACCAACACTCTATACTTAGGCTACACTAAATTTATTAAGCATTTTTTTCTTCAAACATAAATTAATCTTAGTTTGCTTTAGCTCATTTGCTTTAGCACTGGCACCATGAATAACTTCTATTTTTCAAAAATGGAACAACATTTTTGTTTTTATTTTTTAAAAACTTTTTGAAACTTCTGTAATAACACTTAGCTTAAAACACAAATACACTGGAGATGATAAGAATTTTTCAGTTCCCTTATGACCTTAGGGGACCACACAGTGTATGTGCATGACCCCACTTCAGTCCAGCTTCACTGGCTCACAGCCCTTAGCCTGCAGGAAGTGTGCAGGTCACCCCATCCTAAAAATCAAATAACAACCAGCCAGTAAACCCGTCAAGTGTCACCCTCTGAACTAGCCTGAAGCCATCTGCTTCCAGGGCCTCCCCTTCCTGCTCCCCCTAATTCATTCTCAAACCAGTGTGGCCTCTTATTTTATTTACAGCTCTTTCCACACTATAACATGATTTTGGTCTGTGCATCTCCTGCACCACATCTGAGCTCCATGATGCAGGGGTCACACAGTCAGGCCAGCCCAGGAACACTTAAACGCAGTACAGGGGCCTCCAGCCCAGCCTCCCTCACCTGGGCCAGCAGTATCCACCAAGTCTCTCAGGTCACTGGCCCCTGTGCCCTCCCATTGCTGCTCTCTGGCTCAGACCCTGCTCACCTCTTGTGTGGATTAGCGGACGGCCTCCGAGCTGATCACTCCTCTCAGCCTCTCCCTTGAACCCAGCTCCTCCACTGTTGCCTGACACCACAGGCAACCTTGTGCCATGGTCCTGACTCCTCCTCTGGGTCCCAGCACCCAAACTGCCACTGCTGTACTGCAGCAGGCTTCAGGGCCTGCTTTATGCATCTCCCTCACTTTACTACAACCTTTTGAGAGTCTTCCACAATAGATGCTCCAAGGATATTTGTTCAATGAGCAATGAGGTATTTTTGTTTGTTTCAAACTATAATATGTGGTGACAAGCGCCCTGGCTATGTTACCTGGCAGTGCAGGGCTGACCCTAGGCTGGGCCTAGAGCCTCATTCTAGCTTCTCTGAGCCAACAACTACCTGACAGGGTTGTTGCAGATACATAAGAACAACGCACTTAAACCAACTATTTTAAATTAAAAGTAAACATATCAGCACTTAAACCAACTATTTTAAATTAAAAGTAAAACGTGTCAAGTTGAATGCAGAAAGTAACAACTCCCCTCGGGGTGGTGCACACCTGTAATCCCAATAGCTCTGGAGGCTGAGGCAGGAGGATCAAGAGTTCAAAGCCAGCCTCAGCAATTTAGCAAGGAGCTAAGTAACTCAGTGAGACCCTGTCTCTAAATAAAAAATACAAAAGAAGGGCTGGGGATGTGGCTTATTGGTTAAGTGCTCCTGAGTTTAATCCCTGGTACAAAACAACAACAATAACAACAACAAAAACAACTCATATGTGACTAGGGTTTCCTGATCACATAGTGAAATTAACTGGGGACATTTAGCCTCAAATGTCCTCAAATCTGCAGTTGGGAAGATCATCCTTCTCAACATTACTGGATCCTCTTGAGATGCAACCTGCTTGTCTTAATTGATCCTGCCCACAGGAATGAGAGTGACACAAAGCAAGGCAGGGCTTTGACAATTTGATTTCTTTTCTTTTACATGGGTGATTCTGCTCAAATTTATTGCATAGAAAACAAAAGCAGAGGCACAGGACTGAACGACCCTCTGGGCCAGGGTCACTCACCATGCAGGCGGCCTGGACCGCCTCCGACACGTTACCAGCATTGGGCTCGCACCAGAACACGTGGCACTCAAAGCGCTGGTTCCCAGTGTCCATGATGAAGGCAAACGTGTGGACATCCTTCCCGACACCCATGAAGGACAGGAATCGCACCCGGCACTCCACCAAGGTCTCCTCTTCATTCTGCGAGAGACGCTGGTTAGCATCCAACCCTCTCTGGCAAACCAAGCAGCAGTCACCCAAATTTTAATATCTTAAGCAGATCAGAGAAGCCAGCACACTGAATTCAGAAAGGACTTGGGTCTTTCTAGAAAGCCAAAACTTTGCTGAAGGGTCTGGACAGGACTTCAGTGCTGTGGGCATCTCTTTCTGGCAGTTCAGCATGATCTGAACTACACTGATGTCGTGGAAATGTCCATTCACTACCCACTAGACCCCCGGTCTGTGAGTTCACCTGGGGCGGAACAAAGTCACATGCACTTCTTGTGCACTGCCCAACAGGGACACCAGGGGCTTACAGCCTGCTCCCCCAAGTGGACACCAGGACAAAAGGATTTGCTGCATCCCTCTCCATGTGGTCCCTCTCCCCTAGCAAAACAGCACACTGCACCACACTGCTACCTAAAACCAGGGAAAACAAAAAGTTGTCAAGTCAACTAATTTGTCATATCATTTTCCCCCTTTCTACAAACTGGTCTCCATATGAAACGGCATAAAGAGAGGCCTGGAATTCATTCTTGTAGTCATAAGGGCCAATCCTTTGCAACGATCACATGCAATTTTTGAGTTGGTAAACACATCTGGAATGGATGGCACCTTTCAGATCACAACATCTTGGCTCATTATGCTGACCTCTTTGAAGACAGCCCCAGATGTAACAGCCTGGTGGGGAAGGAGCCACCAGGAGGCAGCCCCATCCTAGGAGGTGACTGTTGGGTTGGGCTCAAAGGGTGAGAAGCCAGCCATCGGGGGAGCAGGTGGGAAGGTCTGAGGGAAGGTCCAGGAGCAAGGAGGCCAGTGGTCTGGGCTGGGGTAGAAGAGGCAGGTGGGGACGAGATCATACAGGGCTGGAAGGTGACCTGCTGGTGGACAGAGGAGCAGGGTGGTGACCTGAGGGCTTCTCCTGACATGTGTTTCATAAGCAGAATCAAAAATTAGCAAAGGGCCTGGAGCCAGACTGCCTGGTTCTGTACTTCAACAGCGCGAGGACGGGCAAGTTTCTTTACCTCCCTGTACTTCAGTTTCCGCAATAAGAGTGGGGTAATTTGGGCTGAAGCTAATGCTGGCCTCTGTGAAGATATCAATGACCCCTTTCCCTGCTGCCATGACAGACCACCAGGCCTTCCCTCACAGAAGCATTCTCTGTGTCCCACCTCAGACAGCATGATCCAATCAACCCTGGAGTCCAGAGAGGGCCTCGCCAGGAAACCGGGTGAGCTATAGCTAGTGTCACTCGATCACCTCGAGCAAATGATTCCAATCTCCTGGGCAAATGAGGAAAACAGAACCAGGAGCACCAGGACAAAGGTTTCCAGGTCCAGAGGAAAGTGGAGAAAGGCATGGATTTAGACCAAGACAAAGGCTAAAACCTTTCACAAATGCAGGCCATTTTAATCCTGAGCAGGCACAGCTCCTGAGAGGTCAAGCCTCGGCTCTCTTTCTGGGTTTCATGGAGACTGCTCTATCCAAAGCCTCCTGTGGCCCATGGAGGCCAAATGTCCATTAGGACTCCTCACCTTTTCACTGATGACCGTCACGGTGGCATCGGCCACATTCATGTTCACTGATGGCCAATCCTCCCTGTTAGATGAGGTCATCAGACTCTCTATGGCACTGTTCAGGGTGTCCATTCCTGTGGATGGAAAAGGTAATTGAAAAATCCTTCAAGTTATTTATCACTTTCCAGTGTGGGCCCAATGGCCCAGTAAGAGCTGTACCGCGATCGATCATTTCTTTGTGGTTCAGGACACTTCATCACTTTATCCTCACGACTGTTCAAAATAAAGCGCCACCTTTTCCAACAGGAAGAAGGGTCATGAGCCCCTCCAGAAATCTAGCATGGGGTGTCCTGTCTAAAGAGACCACGGCACGCCCATCTCTCTCTCCAGTTTCTCCAGCTCTGGGTGGAAACAATACTCAGTAATCTTGTCTCTGTCCAAGCAGGGCCTTGGGAGAGGACCTGGAAGAAGCCAGCACTGGCCAGAGTCCCTGAGCTTCTTTCATGTCACTTGGCATTTAACCAAGGTCAAGACTCATGCTCCCTAGATCACGCGTAGTGCAGGTTAGTGGGCAGGGTCCTTTGCTGGGTGTTCCCACAGGCCGTTGGAGGCCTGGGAGCAGGAGTAAGAACACTACTGTGATCTCACACAGAATGCACTCACTGAAAGTGTGTAACCCAATGGTTTTCACTATATTACAGAGTACAACCATTATCACAATCCATTGTGGAACAATTTTGTCATCCCTGAAAGAACCCTGTACCTTTTAGGAGCCACTTACTAGCTGTCTCTAGAGATTTCCCTATTCTGCACATTTTGTATAATGGAATCACGCGGTGGGTAGTGTTCTGTGACTGGCTTCTTCCACCTAGCTAACGATTTCAAGGTTCACTCACGTCCATGTTTCAGCACTTGCTTCCTCTTTATTGCCAAATAACATTTCATTATATGGAAGGATCCTGTCTATGTCAGCTGATGAGCATCTGGATTGTTTCTATTTTTATATTATTATTTTCATATTATGGTGAATAATGTGGCTGTAAATTTTGGTTTGCAAATTTTTCTGTAGACACGTTTCCATTTCTCTTGGGTGTTTGTGCAGGAGCAGAGCCTCTGGGTCAAAGGTAACTGTTTAAGCTTTTGAAGAACTGCCCAGCTGTTTTCCCAAGGAGCCACATCATGTCACACCGGCCCTAGCAGTGCAGGAGGCTCCGATTTCTCTGCAACAGCCAGGCAAAGGTTGCGTCTCCCAGCCTGTCTTCAGCTTGGAAGGGCAACTTAGTCCTTCCACTGGGATGTGAGCCGAATGCTGTGGTTGTCATTTCTGGGGTCACAGTGGAAAAGGAGGACATGAGAGCTCCCTCAGTCCTTTTTCCCTGTCTCTGGAGACAGAAGCCCTACTGCAGGAAAGCACAGCACCTCCACCGCCCTGCGCTGCACATCTCTATAGACTGCAGGGTAAATAAGAAATGCATGTCTGCTTTGCTCAAGTATTCTGGGATTGTAGTCAGACCAGCTTAGCCTGTCTTCATGTGGCTCATACTGTGTTTTTTTTTTTGGGGGGGGGGGCGTGGGGCGTGGGTTTGTGTACCAAGGATTGAACTCAGAGGCACTCAACCACTAAGATACAGCCCAGCCTATTCTTGTATTTTTTTTATTTAGAGACAGCGTCTCAATGAGTTGCTTAGCGCCTCACCATTGATGAGGCTGGCTTTGAACTCTCGATCCTTCTGCCTCAGCCTCATCCTCATCCTCCTGAGCCGCTGGGATTATAGGCACGTGCCACCGCGCCCAGCTCCACATGGCTCATTTGATCAGAGCTGTTCATGGGCCATGGCTGGTGATGGAAAGAGGGCTTGATTCAAGACAAGGCAAGGGAGTAACTGTGCACCTCACCCTCTTGGGGGTGTGAATGCCTCCCACAAGCTCCTGAACACCTTCAAAGGGGAAGGACAATAAGGCCATACATACCGACTGGTCTGTCGACAGGTAACATGCCCAAGTACTGCACGTGGAACTTCTGGACCAGTTCAGTCTTTGGCGTTGGGAAATCTACTGTGGGGAACAAAAGCAGCCCATCCTTCTCAGTGGTTGCCACACATAAGAAAAAATAGTCACCACCTGGGATCTGAAATCGCCAGAACACCACCTGTGCCTTTGTCTTGTTCCCGAACAAAATCAAAATAGCACTAACCCTAGACACTGGCGAAATCGGGCGAAAGACTAAAAGCTCATTTAACTTGGAAGTAAAACCACCTTTGGAAGTTTGGAAGTTGGTTTCACTTCCAAGTTAAATGAGCTTTATTTAGTCTTTCACCTGATTTCCCAGTCCTTTATCTCTGTCAGTCAAAATCCCGTTAAACTTTCATTTAAAGGTGGGAAAGAGTTTGAAGCCAGGAGCTGATGGGCCAAACTGTCTCTCTGATGTGTGCTAAGGAAAGCATAACCAAGAGTCCCCCAAAAGAACATACATTTTTAAAAATTAGACCCTACCCCATACTTTACATGAGTTATGAAAACAATGTTCTTTAACTTTGCAATAGCAACACAGCCACCCCACCCTTTGTACTAATCCTACTGACACAAAGTCAAGTCTGTGCCCCTGTAGGCCCAAGGTGCACACTCCACTCATGTTTTTTGAGTTGAATATGCTTTTTTTAGGAAACTCAAGACAATGGAGAACCACCTGAGCCCTCTTGTTTCTTGCCGTGAGGGACATGCCAGGATGAGGGGGAGGTGCCACTGGCCTACCTTGCAAAGGGACTTCGGGATTCACACTAGTCCTCTCCTGCGAGGAGCTGCAGGCCAGGGCTTTGGCATTCTTCCGTTCAGCCATAATCTAAAGATTAAGTGCAAACACAGCTCTGGTTGGCGGGTGCAAGCCCCACACCTTCAGCGAGTCCAGCTGTAATGTGTCTGAGTGGGTTTCACTTCCAAGTTAAAATAGCTTTAAATTTTCCACCCGATTTCCTGGCCCCTTCCTCAGGGCTATGTTTTTCATTTGAGAATTCTGCTCATTTTCTCTGGGGATAACAGGTAAGCTGTTCCTCAGAGTAACGGTCTCCTGATTGTTTGGAATCTACTTCTTCCATTCTCCAGGCTTTCAGCTTTGCTGAAAGTCACCCAATATCCATGGTCTGGCCTGGACCTGCTGGCCCACAGTGGTTAGCAGAACATGGCATGGTGGGGCTTCCCTGGCTCTTCTAGATGCCCACTTTCAGATACTTTTTTTCAGGGTTCTGGAGACAAAATATGTCGGTTCAGATCTCACCTCTGCCACTTACTGTGTGGCATTGGATAAATCACCTGCCCTCCTACATCTCATCTCATCTCCTCCACTATGCATGGGATGACTACAGTGTTTATGTCACAGAGCAGTTTCGAGGACTGAAGGAGCCAGTGTGTCAAACGGTCAGTGGCTTCAGAAATGTCGGCTGCTCTCTGTTGGGGGCAGGATGACTGCTGTGCTCAAGTGTCATTGCTTTCCAAACCTTCCCTCACCAGCTTCACAGAGCCATGGGCTTAGGAACCAAATCCTCATTTTGGAGACAGGACCACTTGGAGCAACACCTGGCCTACAGATTTCAGGCAGCCCTCCCTCTGTGAGAATTCTGAGTCTGTGGATTCTAGCAACCAGGGGTTAAAAACGTTATGGTGGTGCCAAAGTGTGTATGTAGGTAAGCCTGCAACAGCTATATCGGTACTGAACTCAATAATAACAGTCAAACAACTGTTTACAAAGCCTTTATATTATATTTGGTATGATAGGGAATCTGGAAATACTTTGAAGTACATGGGAAAATGTACATAGAATACACGCTAACACTTCACCACATTATATAAAGGACTTGGCATCTGAGGACTTTGGTATCTGCTGAGGTACTGTTTCTGCTCCCCTGTGGATTTTGAAGGACCACCATTCCTTACTGGGATGGGTTGAACAATCTGCCCACTTCTTCCCTGAGTTGATTTCCATGTCCCCTCTCCTGCCCTTCCACATCCCTTCATCCGCTCAAGGGGTGAGGAGAGAGAGGTGCACCGCTCTTCCCTGACCCACCTTACCTTGGAACAAATTTCGTGGAGACTTGTGGCAATGGCTTTTGCTGGTGTGTCACATCGAAATACATGACATTTCAAAATTCTGGTATCTTTATCTCTTGCTACATAAGCAAAATCCCTATGGGAAAAAAAAAGTATCAGTACATTAAATAAAGGAACCTTTTACCAACCCATATGCTAGTTATGAATGTTAAAGGAGCTAGCAGCAAGCATGTCAGTGGTAAACAATGTATGAAATGATTTAAAAAAACCCAAACAAACCAAAATTTTAACAGCTACAGAAAACTGAAGCACGGTTTGGTAGATATTAGGAATTCATTTCTAAGTAACATAACTACAGCGTCCTCCACACCCAGGCTCTTGAACTCCCGGAATAGCTAACGACGCTGGGCCAATGCCGAGTTTCACAGAGCCCTTCTGTGTAGCATGATAACAAATATCACAACAACACAACCCGGGCTTGGAAGGGCACGAATTGCATGAGTGGTGTCAGGACAGACGTGGTTTGTGCAGCAGAAGCAGAACAACAGGCTCTGATGTGGAAACACGAGCACAAAGAACCGCCCGACCCACAGCTGCTGGAGAAAGTTGATGGGCAATCAGAGGGTGCGCTGGAACACGGACACGGCGGACTGAGAGTCTACCAAAGGCACCGCAGGCCACTACCCACTCCTTGAACCCTGGCTCTGGGCAGCATCCCATGATATTGCTGTTATGAAGCATTAGTTCAGATGCTGTCGAGAGCAAGCAGCGGCTGCTGGATTTTAGCATTTGTTTTACTGTTGAAAAAGATGCTGGCTGTGACATGACTCGGCTTCAAAAGGGCTACAGGACGCGTCTACGTTCCTCTCTGTTATTACTGGAGGATGCTGGTTTTCAAAGTTGAAAGTGTTTATGAAAAATAAATGTCCCGCTTTACCCCTGCGGTCACGGATCATAGTGATTGATTTGCACGTGATGCTAAGCCAGGATCGTGGTAATTGAAAATTTCTCTCTCGTAATGTAAGAACTGGTAGTCTTTTCACAGACCAGGACAGTCTACCCCCAGGATAGCCGAGGTATCCTTGGGAAGGCATGAGGATCTACCACTGGAGGCAAATGAGAGAGGCCAGAAAAAAGGTGGGGTTCAGTGAGGGAGGGCTGGTTGAGACAGATGGTCTGGCCAGACAAGTGTCCCATTGTCTTGCTGGGCAGGGCAGCTCTGCAATGGAGCTTCCTGACTCTGGGCTCCAGGTCAGGACATCTTGACCTGGCTGTCAGACACTTTAACTGTCCACGCCTGACCTCAACATCTGCCCCAACCTCCTGCTTCCTCACCGGTGGCCTCAGTCAGTGTCCTCCACACCAGACTCCCCTGCCCCTTCTCCCCGCACCCAACCCTGTGGGGCCTATGGTACAACTTAGAGGTCTGGTGCTCCTGCCTCCCAGCCCCACAGTGCTCAGCTCTGGGTTCAGAGCACGTCCCCTGCCTCTGCTCTCCACCCCGCTGCCCCTGTGGAGGGCTCAGCTGATGCTGAGAGCACCCCTCCTGTTCTCCTCAGCTCCGATACACACTGCGCTCACCCTGGGCATCACCCTGGGCACCAAGTGTATCTGGTGTGTCTTCCTCACAACTCCTTGAAGCTCCATGAAGATGAATTGTGCCTTATTCATCCCCAATACCTGGTGATGCCAGGTAGCAGAACTGTCTGATGGAGGGCTCCACCCCCACCTCCCCCCAGGCACAGTGCCTGATCTTCTTGGTCCTACTTCCCAAGGGGAAGCTAGACTGAGCCAGAGGTATGAATGGGTTCCCTGACAGCAGGTGGAGGGGTGCGTGTGGGCCAGGAGTGCCTCCCATCCTCAGCTAGCCCTCCACTGAAGCAACACATTACATAACAAGATGCGCCTTACTCCAGAGGCCGTGCTCCAGGGAAGCCTGGTTTGGGGTTCTCTTCCCTCTTGCTGCTCTTGTTCCCTAGATGCGCCATGAAGTAGCACACGCCAGATCTCAACACCTTGCTCTTTAAACTTTCACGTACAGCTGCCATTTGCCTGAGGCCAAATCTCTCTGAAGCTCCCTGTGGTCACCCACAGAAAGCCCAAAACCCTTTGGATTTTAAGAGTTGCAAAATCTGCCCTACCGACTCTCCAGCACTGTTCTCCTGACCGAGGAGCTCTCCTTCTGCTCCAGAAAAGGTGGGTCTCCTTGTCCGCTCATTGTGGTAACATCTCTTGCTTGGGGACCACTGACCCTCCCTATGCTGTCCAGAGCACACCTGTCAGGATGGTCCACCTCTGAGGTCTGCCAGGCCCTCTAGCCCCCAGGGCCCTGTTTGAGTCTAAATGCTCACAGTAAGTAATTCTGCACCACAAAGGATAAGTTCTGTTATATCCTCTCTCGTAGTGACTGCACAGGTCTCAACTGTGTCTGTCCTAAGAGTCAGCAAAGAATAGCCAGAAGGTCAGTGGCTTGATTCTGGCAACTCGGCCTCCAGTCTCATTCCTGGTTCCCCTCAGTTACACAGGTTGAACACCCCAATCAGAAAATCCAAACTCCAAATCCCAACTGCCACGATGCCACAAGTGGAAGATTCCATACCACAAACTCTGCTTCATGTAGAACATTATTAAAAATATTGTATGAAGTTACCTTCAGGCTATGTGTGCCGGGGGTATGTGAAACAAACAAATTTCATATTTGGAGATGGGTCCCATCCCCTAGTTATCTCATAGTGCATATGCAAATATTCCAAAATCAGGGGAAACCCCCAAATTGGAAACACCTCCATTTCCAAGCATCTTGGGTATGGATATGACATCTGCACAACTCGGGACACAGGGTGAAAAACTCGATTCCTAAGGTCTCTCCATGGCACTGCCATTCTCTGATGTCAGCTTCCAAGGTTCAGTACTCTCTCTCTTGAGCTGGCAGGGTGATGATCCCAAGGCAAATGGAACAGGCCCTGGTTGATAAGCCACACATCATTCCTATCCGAGGTCAGCTTTGTGCCCTCTGTTCTTTTATATGTAACCTCTCAGGCATAATTTTTAAAATTATCATTATTAATCTTCATTTTCTTTTGGCTCAGGGGAAGGCGATGAAGGCTTTAAGGGTGACCATGAGGAGCCCACATTTTCCTAAAGGAGAAACTCAGCAGCCTCAGGCTTGCTTTGGAGGAATTCTCGCATGTTTTTTCACAGCCTCATCTCTTCCTGTTTGCTCTCAGGTGCCAGACTGACAGAGGAAGGAGGCAGGAGTCTGTGGTCCACCACGGTGGGTGAGATTAGAAACTCACTCTCCGGAGGCTGCATCTGCTTCTGGGGGGTGGGGGGGGGGAAGAACTTTCTCTGCAAGATGTTTGCACATCTCCCATTTTATTCCCATGCAACATAACTTGAGTCACCCTCAAATAGTGACAGCCCCAAACATGGAGGTCTGTAGAGGCAGCGAGGCCTTCCTTTGGACCTGGAGCTTGGACACGCTGAGCCACTTCCTCTGTGCACAGTGGAACACCCAGTTATAGAATCTGTGATTGAGAGTCAAGTCCAGATGCCACTTCACTGGTTGTTCTAAGAGTCCTAAGTTGTCCTGGGTAGCCTTGAACTTGAGATCTTCTTGCCTCAGCTTCCTGAGTAGCTGTGATTACAGGTGTGCACCACCACACCTGGCCTTACAGATTTATATTCTAAAAAATATTCAATTTATCTCCACAATTACCTTCTAAGACACTACTAGGTCCCAGTCACCAGTGATGCAAATGCAAGTGGACAAGGCTGCAGACTAGGAAGCCACTGCCTGGCGTTACTGTCAGTGACATGTGAGCTGGTGTCTTTAGGTAGGCCTTGCCAGGGTAAGAAGGACAAGGTAAGAAGGATGGTTCAAAGAAAATTTAAGTGAGCATGAGCAGAGCCACAGGGTAAAAGAGCCAGGAGTGTTTGGAAGAACTTGCACTGTCCTTGCACACACCTGTGGCCCCGTGGGGCGGCCTCACAGAGAGGCTGCACACAGTTGCCCTGGGCTCCCTGCGCAGCGCTTTGTGCCCTGCCGGGTTTCTGGCCCTTACTCTGAGCCTGATGGAGAATGATATTTAAAGGCCTCATTGTGCTGGGTGCTGGGATTATGCTGTAATCCTAGAGGCTCGGAAGGCTGAGGCAGGAGGATGGCAAGTTCAAAGCTCAGCCTCAGCAACTTAGCACGGCCCTAAGCAATTCGGCAAGACCCTGTCTCAAAAACCAGGAAGTAAAAGGTCTGTAGCTGGAACTGGAGCTTCTGTCTCCTCCTTCAATTCTAACAGAAGCGGGTACCAGAAAGCAGCTCCATTGGCCATGTGATGACTGAGCCCTTGTATTTCCAGCTCTCCTTGCTCTTGTTCTTCCTAGTAACAATTCCCCCCCAGGACCAGCTTTGGGTTCTGCTGGAGAAAAATGTCAGCGCTAAGATGTTTTTGACAGCCTCAAATTTCTTAATGGCCAAGAAAAAGGACCAAGGATTGCTTTTATTATTCTCGACTGTACAGCATCCTCATCGCCCTCCAGGAGCTTGATCCATCTTTATGGAATGAGTGGATCAACAGTTCATTATTCAAATGGCTCCTATTAAAAACCAGCCAAGACTGAATCATTTACCCTTTCCCCAAATCTCTCCCCTGCAACTCTCCCAGGGTAAGTAGAATCTGCTTATGTGTTTACCTCTCCAAGAAAATTTAAGAGGCATCTCAGATCCCTTAGCTGTTATATAGACTCACTTTTCAAAGCCCCGGTACCTGGAATAGCTCAAGGACATGAAATCTCATTTCCTTAATGAATCAGCCTGTCCTGTTGCTGGAAAGCTCCCAGTGAACCAAAATGTGTTTTTTTGCTAAATGAGACACTGAAACCTGCCTCCCTGTAGCTTCTGCTAGTTGGAGCCGGTTTTGCTTTGTGGAGAGGCCTGGAACAAGCTGCCCTGTCAGTCATCACATGCCAGCCCATGCAACTGGCAGTGACCCCCTCCCCCACCCTCGCCCTGTCCCCTGTTGGCACTCCTCACCACGTCTCCAACACTCAGGAGCATCTTTTATGTAATTCATATCTGCTCAGGTCAAATACACATTTTGATGTAGGGAATCTGTGAAGTCTGGCACATGGCAGGCACTG